AAAGGAGGGTTATAACCCCTGTCAGGTGAAAAAAAAAAAAAAAAAAAAGTGTGTCCCCCATTGGGGAGAATTCCTTTAATTTCCTGTCCCATAGCAAAACAGAAGCGAGGGAAAAAAAACCTCCAAAGTGTGTGAATTTCTGTCACCAGATTGGAAGATTTCCCCTCTATTAAAGTGACTGTAAGGCTCCATGCACACTGGGCGTTTTAACAATGCTGGTAGCGTCAGCATTTTTGCATTGGTGTTAAGCCTTTTTTTTTTTTTTTAGCATTTTTTAGACAAAAAAAAGTACTCAAAAAAACAGCTAAAAAAAACTCCTCTAGAAACCCACTAGTTCTGGGGGGGTTTCCTGCCAAAAAATGCTGATTAAAGCCTATGTGTGCATGGACATGTAGCATAACATGCTGGGGCATTTATGGCTGTAGAAAAAAAAAAAAAAAAAACCCAAAAGCCAAAAACAGCCGCTGTAAAAACATCCAGTATGCATGAGGACTTAAGGTTCTAGTTTAGTAATAACAAATATGTTATACTTATCTGCTCTGTAATGGTTTTGCAGACAACAATCCTGATCCTACTCTTCTGCGGTCCTGTGCCTGCACTGTCCGCTCCTACCCAGCAACCAGCAGCTGGCTATGGGGGCACTCATGCATGTTCACTCCTGAGCCTCGCTCTGTGTGTCCTTAGAGTAGGGCTTGGTCCTAACCCCACCTCACTGGCTGTGATTGACAGCAGCGGGAGCCAATGGTTCCCGCTGCTGTCTTTGAGCCAATGAGGAAGGAAAGAGCAGAGAGAGCCCCTGCTCTCGTGCACAGTTCTGGATCAAGATCAGGCTCAGACAAGTATAAGGGGAAGCTTAGTCACACTTTAGAGCTAGTAAACATATATGAAAATGGAATGCGTGTTGAACTGCATCCAATTTGCATGACATGTGAAATAACATTGGTTTCTATTGTGCCTGTTCACATATATGCTGTTCACCCGGAATGCAGATTCAATACGAACTGAAAAAAATAGTCATGTTTATTTTCTGAGCAGTGCTGTCTGGTTCAGGTGCAAATTCAGGCTCATTGACTTCTATGGGAACTTTTCTGAATCGTACAGGTCATCAAGTTATGAACAGGATAAAATCTTGTCCTGAACCTGATCTAAACCTGACCTGAACCGCTGAACAACTACTTTGTCAGTTAGCTGTGAAATGGAGATTTAATTCGCACCACACATGTATAAAAACTACACAAACTTGCCCTTTTCTTATGTTGAAAAAAAAAAAAGCCTAAAATGAGCAAGGCAGAGTATACCTAGCTTGTACATTCCCATGGCGCAGCAAATGGTGTTCTCAGAATATCACAATAAAGACATGGATATTGCAAAGGGGACTAGCCTGGTGAACTACAGCTATACCATGACCAGGTAGGGCTGTGTTCTCTGTAGACATTTCAAGCCATATATTACACCTGTATGAAAAAAATACAGCAATTGCTTTTTGAGTCATAAACCTACAATAACCATGCAGCAAATTAGGGTCTAAAAAGAGTAGGGATTCCTTGTCTCTATACTTTGGTGACCTCAATGAATCAAAAAGCATTGGAGACAAACTATCCGTATGACAGTCAGGCAACTAAAATTCAAAAAGAAAGGTCAGCTATTGCAGGTTATAAAATTCTCTCAGATTACTGGGAGAGTAAAACTGAGCATGTGCAGCTTGACCCCAAGGCTCCGTTCTATCAGCAGATGGATTGGGGACAGTAGAAGAAGTAGAGGATCAGAGAAGGCTCAAACATCCTTTTTACATGATGTGGATGATTAACCCCTTAGGTTCTACTTGAAAGTGGTTGTAAAGGCTCCAGGTTTTTTACCTTCATGCATTTTATGCATGAAAGTAAAAAAACCTTCTGTGTGCAGCCCCCTCAGTACTTAACTGGGCGGGGCCAAGCCGCGGCTCCGTTTGTGAATAGACACATGGAGCAGCAGGTACCCCCATATCAAGCTGCTTGCTATGAGGGCACCCGACAGAAAGGAGGAGCCAGGAAAGCCTGTGGGGGACCCGAGAAGAGGAGGATCCAGGCTCCTGTGTGCAAAAGCACCAAAAAAAAAAAAAAAACAAACCTTTAGTATCACTTTAATTTTCCATCCACACCAATTAACTGAGTCAGCTAGCAGCCACATCCTGGTTATAGGAGATGGACATAACTACATCATATTGTTCATGGGAAAGGTATATTCAAAGTGGTAGAAAACTCATTTTTGTTATTTTCACCTACAGGTAAGCTTAAAAAAAAAAAAAAGTTTGCCTGTAGGTAAAATGAATATCTCCTAAATGTGTACCGTTTTAGGAGATATTCCATCGAGCAGCAGCCAGGAAGGAACAGCATACCCGCGCAGCTCCTTCAGAGATTTGTAGCATGCTCGGGGCTCATGCACTCATGCGCGGGAGTGACGTCATCGTGGCTTGGCCAATCTGATGGTCAGGGTCTGCAAACCCAGAAAGAAGACCAGGTGAAGATGGAAACCCTGTCAACAGTGACAACATGCCACTGGGGGGCTGTGTTTTAAGGTAAGTTTTTTTTTTATAATGTGCTATTTTATGATGCATACTAGCACATTATATTACCTTGCAGGGGGAAAAGCCTTTTTTTTTTTCCAAGCTTTATTATCACTGTAATGCAAGTCCCGCCTCTGAGGATCTGTATTATATCCTGCCACTATATATAATGATTTTCTTGATTTGAACATCATTTCATTTTGTTTAGTCTACCCAATGATGTACTTTAAGCAATGCCCAAATTAATTCTCCCTTCTAGGGCTCTGGATACCTTCCTCAGCATGGTGATCAAACATTACCTCGGGCTACCCCAAGTAGTTGTCAGTTTAAATATTTGAGAGTCCTAGCCTGGACAGTTCTGTTTTAAACATTTAATGACCACAATCTGGCTACAGTTCTGTCTTGCAGAAAATCTGAGCTCTCTTCTTGGTAACCACTGCACTAACTTGCCAAAGTTTTGCTGCTAGAAAATGGCAGAACATATGCCGCAGAATACAGACACCCTCTTCCCTCTCCATCCAACATGTCACAGCTGTCACAACAGTTTGCAATCTAAAAGGAACATGTCAGGGTCGAATTATGGGAGCTGCCACTTGGTTTAGAAGGTTTACGTTCCGAGACTGTCATTAAAATACTTCCTTTACTTCATGATGATCCACCAACCTGGAAAAAGGTTATTAGGTGGTCAGACAGCTGACAAGATTTTTCAAGGGAAGTGACTGATTAGATGGGATCAGAATGTCAGCACTACAGCCTGCACCTTCAAAAAGAAGCCAGTAATGGCAGCTGCCTTATTTCTTTCATTCTTAACCACTTGCCCTCCAAAAGGATTTCCCCCTTTCCTGACCAGGCCATTTTTTCAATTACGGTGCTGCGTTACTTTAACTGACAATTGTGCAGTCATGCAACTCTGCACCCAAATGAAATTTACATCCTTTTTTCCAACAAATAGAGCTTTCTTTCAGTGGTATTTGATCACCTGTGCGTTTATTATTTTTTTTGCGCTATAACAAAATCAACAATTTGAGAAAAAAAAATATATTTTTGACTTTTTGCTATTGAACATGCCCAGTAAAAAAAAAATGTATTCTGCTACATGTCTTTGCTACAAAAAAATCCCAATACCTGTAAGTTATAGCGTTATAACATTTACAAATGGTGGTATATATACTGGGATTTTTTTTTTTTTCTTACTAGTAATGGCGGCAATCAGCAACTTATAGCGGGACTGCGGCGGGCATTATGACAATGGGGGGAACTGACTTGGTATCACTGACACCAATACAGCAATCATGCTAATAAAAAGCACTGACACTGTACTAATGGCACTGGGCAAAAAGGGGTTAACATGTGGGGCAATCAAAGGGTTAACTGTGTGCCACACTGCTTTGTATGAGCTGACAGAGGAGAGAACGGGTATTGTTTACATACAGTTCTCTCCCTCCATTGGTAATGCTCGGCGATCACTGGGTGCCAGAGAGTAATCACTGGCCGCAACCCGGTGATTGACAACAGAGGCTGTGAATATTGGCGCAGGAAGGGCTCATGCTCCACCTACCCAGGAATACAAAATCACATAATATATATATATATATATATATATATATATATATATATATATATATATATATACACCTGATTTTGCACACCCATGCCACTCTGTGTAGTAGTATATCGGCTATAGGGCAGCAGGAAAGCGGTTAAACTGTAACACAACTATGAAAATATTTAATTTAATGCAACAAATTGAAGTGCCTAAACTCACATAAATATTTCAAATCTCAACTGAACTTTCCATGAATGCATTCCAGCTGAGAAAAAAAAGTATGCAAAGTCTGCCTGAGTAAAAAAAGCATGTCCCCTGCCAGCATGCTGTAGGGAAGACTCCTTCTCTCTGCAGAGGTCCAACATGCTCTGAAAAGTAAACAATAGGGCTCACCATTCAAAACAGAATATACTGTATTTTTTGCTCCATAAGACGCACTTTTTTTCCCCCCAAAAAAGGGGGGAAAATGCCAGTGCGTCTTATGGAGCGAATATGGAGTGGCCGGTCCGGTATTTCCGCCACCATGTCAGAATACCGGGCCGGCCACTCAGCTCTTCTCTGCAGCAGGACCTTACCTAATCCTTGGTCCAGCGCTGTACAGTCTTCCCGCGCCTTTCATCTTTAGTGTGGGAACCAGGCTGTGACAGCCAGGTGCCCACTACGCATTCGCGAGAAGCACTGCGCTTTGTGAATGGCCCCGTGTCTTCTGGGACCTGTCATGTGTCACCTGTCACAGCCGGGTGCCCACAATAAAGGGAGGACAACTCTGCGAAAGTGGGAGCGGGTACCTGTCAAATTCAGGTAGCCGCTCCCCCTCCCTCCTCAAAAGTCCGCAGTCTCTGGTCATCCCCTGTACTGTGTCCGCAGTCTCTGGTCATCCCCTGTACTGTGTCCGCAGTCTCTGGTCATCCCCTGTACTGTGTCCGCAGTCTCTGGTCATCCCCGGTACTGTGTCCGCAGTCTCTGGTCATCCCCTGTACTGTGTCCGCAGTCTCTGGTCATCCCCTGTACTGTGTCCGCAGTCTCTGGTCATCCCCTGTACTGTGTCCGCAGTCTCTGGTCATCCCCTGTACTGTGTCCGCAGTCCTCTGGTCACCCCCTGTACTGTGTCCGCAGTCTCTGGTCACCCCCTGTACTGTGTCCGCAGTCTCTGGTCACCCCCTGTACTGTGTCCGCAGTCTCTGGTCACCCCCTGTACAGTGTCCGCAGTCTCTGGTCACCCCCTGTACTGTGTCCGCAGTCTCTGGTCACCCCCTGTACTGTGTCCGCAGTCTCTGGTCACCCCCTGTACTGTGTCCGCAGTCTCTGGTCATCCCCGGTACTGTGTCCGCAGTCTCTGGTCATCCCTGTACTGTCCGCATCCCTGGTCATCCCCTGTACTGTGTCCGCAGTCCCTGGTCATCCCCTGTACCGCAGTGTCCGCAGTCCCTGGTCATCCCCTGTCTGTGTCCGCAGTCCCTGGTCATCCCCTGGCACTGTGTCCGCAGTCCCTGGTCATCCCCTGTACTGTGTCCGCAGTCCCTGGTCATCCCCTGTACTGTGTCCGCAGTCCCTGGTCATCCCCCTGTACTGTGTCCGCAGTCCCTGGTCATCCCCTGCACTGTGTCCGCAGTCCCTGGTCATCCCCGGCACTGTGTCCGCAGTCCCTGGTCATCCCCGGCACTGTGTCCGCAGTCCCTGGTCATCCCCCGGCACTGTGTCCGCAGTCCCCTGGTCATCCCCGGCACTGTGTCCGCAGTCCCTGGTCATCCCCGGCACTGTGTCCGCAGTCCCTGGTCATCCCCGGCACTGTGTCCGCAGTCTCTGGTCATCCCCGGCACTGTGTCCGCAGTCTCTGGTCATCCCCGGTACTGTGTCCGCAGTCTCTGGTCATCCCCGGTACTGTGTCCGCAGTCTCTGGTCATCCCCGGTACTGTGTCCGCAGTCTCTGGTCATCCCCGGTACTGTGTCCGCAGTCTCTGGTCATCCCCGGTACTGTGTCCGCATCTCTGGTCATCCCCGGTACTGTGTCCGCAGTCTCTGGTCATCCCCGGTACTGTGTCCGCAGTCTCTGGTCATCCCCTGTACTGTGTCCGCAGTCTCTGGTCATCCCCTGTACTGTGTCCGCAGTCTCTGGCCATCCCCTGTACTATGTCTGCAGTGCATTGGTTCAGAATATTTTTTTCTTGTTTTTCCCCCTCTAAAACCTAGGTGCATCTTATGGTCAGGTGGGTCTTATGGAGCGAAAAATACGGTAAGTGATTGCAAAGCAATATATCTGACACAGCGGAGGGTGTATTGGACCTCTGCAGAGAGACCACTGATTTCTGAACAAGAATCCATCTCTGCTGCATAGTGGCAGAGGAAAGGCTTCTCTGCTATGACCGAATGAAAATGAACTGAAGGACTTTGAAAAATGTTTGATTCGATTCACCCGGAATATATTTAACTGATTTAAACTGAGCCTGGGTTCACAGTGATGCGGTGCGGAATTTGCACCGATTTCTATGCGAATTCCACACGGCATCATAATCGCAACCCGTTCATGCAAATTACTGCGGGTGTGTATGTTAAGTTAGCACCCCAAAATCAGTTCGCAAAAAGTGGTGCGATCTGCAGAATTGGATTGCATGGGTGTGAAACCCATGCGATCAGATTATAGTGTGGACAAAAAAAGAAAAAAAAAAAAAAGGGTCCTGCACCTTTTTGGTGCGGATGCGGTGCAAAATGTATGGCTCAAATCGCACCACACAAAATTCACAAGTGATTTGCACAGGAATGCGGTGCGGTTCCTGTGTGAATCACATGCGATATGTCGCACCGCAGAAGCGTGAACCCAGTCTAAAAGTTCAGTTGGGTTTGAAATACCTGCTTGAGGTATATCTAGTACTGCTTGGACCTTGAAAGCTTGTCTTGAAAATCTGTATGTTGGTGCAAATAAAGAAAAGTATCACAGATAGAACTCTATTGTTTTTGTTTTAACCACTTGCCCTCCTGAGGATTTACCCCCCTGACCAGGCCATTTTTTGCATTACGGCACTGCATTATTTTAACTGACAATTGCGCGGTCATACAATGCTGCACCCAAATGAAATTTACATCCTTTTTTCCCCACAAATGGTGCTTTCTTTCGGTGGTATTTGATCACCTGTGCGTTTTTTTTATTTTTTTTTGCGCTTAAAAAAAAAAAAAAATCTGACAATTTTGAGAAAAAAAAAAAAAACACATTTTTGATTTTTTTTTTGCCATTAAACATGTCCAGGGAAAAAAAAAATGTTAAAAATCAAAATGTTCATCATAAATTTAGGCCAAAATATATTCTGCGACATGTCTTTGCTAAAAAAAATCCCAATATGTGTAAATGAATTGGTTTACGTGAAAGTTATTATAGCATGTTAATGCAGCGCTGTATCGCAAAAATGGCTGGTGAAGAAGTAAATCCTCTGGAGGGCAAGTGGTTAAATACAGTTGGTGAGTGGGAGGGTTCAGAGAGGTCAAAAAATCTTTACATCATTTCCGCTGATCACCAAAAAATATACCATTTATGTTGTTAATGATCGACAATATGTCTACAATTGGGGGAGATATTTCCACACAATCATGGTGTTGTCGCGGGTGCACGTTTAGAACAGATCTTTATAAATCCAACCATTTTTTTCACATGATTTTCTGTGCATGGCCAGCATTTTATTCAAAGCTTAATTGAACAAGTTGAAGTTAGAATGATTGGTTACTATGCACAGCTGCACCAGATTCTGAGTTCTCCAGTTTTAGGAAGTCTCCCCCAATGTAAATCTATACCAAACACTTTCATACTACTGCGATGTGGTTTTCCTGCGTGTTTGGAGTGGGTTAGCTGCAATTTCCCATGGAGTTATATTGCGTCTCATGTGTTTTGTGAGCTTTCTGAAAGCATGTCAAAAAGGCAGGACACGATATAACTCCATGGTAAAGCACAGCTAACCTGCTCCAAACACACGGAAAAAAACCGCACTGCAGTAGTGTGAAAGCATGCAAGTTTACCTTGTTTTATTTTCACCTGTTGATCTGACCAGTAAATCTCTTATTTTTCAACTTTGACATAGCTGCCCAGCAAAAGTGGCAGTTAGAGAGTGAAGGCAAACCATTTGACATAGACAGGGGTGCTTACAATTCTGTAAAACCTTTATCCCAAATGAAAAAAAAAAAACTGTTGCTGTAACAGCTTGAAAAGCATTAGCTGGATTTTTGTTTTAAGGAATTAGTTTACCTTTTCAGAAAATGAAAATGTGAACACTGTACCCCCCCCCCCCCCCAGGTCCCCCATACTAACATCTATTGGTAATGAGCGGTCCGTGCCCGCACAGCTGATGCAGGGGTCCAGATATATGACGTCCTTGCTTTTCTCCATATTCTTTCTGCAGCGCTTCTAGAGAAATGCTCTATGGTAGTGCTGACCAATCAGAATCACTCTGATCAGTCCCGGAAATGCTGCAGAAAGAAGAGGGAAAACAATTTGGCTTTCAAATCCCTGGACAGCTTCACAGGAATGGTATGTACAGTGTTAGTTCACCTTTTCATTTTTTCTGAAAAGGCGAACCTACACATTAATTTATAGAGTTTCTAACACACACCCTCTCCCCAAAATCGGCAATGCTGCCGTCCAAGGGTGTTTCTGTTATTCCACCCTAAGACAGGAAGTCACTGGCTGGATCACCAGGTAATGAAAAAAAACTGATGCAGTCACCAAATACTTAGGGACTGGCAAGTTACAATAAAATGCAATTTTGTTTTTGGGCTTAGATAGGCTTTAACCTTTACTATGGGGAATATCCACATATCCTTTTGTTGTGACATCAAAGTAAAAGCGTGGCGGTTAGAGTACAAGTCACCTTTTTGCAATTCTATTTTATCTTGAAGATTTCTTCTGAACTATGCGGTTTTCATAACAGCCTAAAAATCAATGGCCTTTTCACTTAGAATGGCGTTACCAATTAAACTGCGAGAAAAAAAAAAAAAAACACCTTGGTATTTCACGCTGCTACAGACACGCTGCTAATAACATATTGCTACCGACTAATACAGAATGTTAGGATCATGTATAGTACATATTTATAGGCTCCAAAGCACAGCTTTCAAAGCTCTGTTACTATGTAACTAAAAAGAGTGTTAAGACTGCTTAACAGCTTGATAGTTTTTTTTGAAACCTTGCTGAAAAACTAATTTACTAAAGTTTCTACCATACAGACACAGCATAAAAGGTTTTGTCCTGAACAGCCAGGCACCATATGTTAATAAGAGACAAACTGTGGCTTCCAACCTTTTTCACATCACTGACAATATAGCAAACTGTTGAAGCAGCCAAGACCACCTTCTACATAAAAATCATCCTTTCAAGTCGGGAGAGGTAAATTAACATAGGATTTACGAGTCATTTATACAATCTGGGATCCAACATGCACTTTTAAACATGCCGGAAAACTTGCTTACGCTGAAAATGATAAAAAGCATCAAAACGGAAAGGAGCCAGATGTAATATTCTATAGTCATGTGCTACACGGGTCCCATTTTAAAATGCAATTGTACAGTGCATCCAGAAAGTATTCTCAGCGCTCAACTTTTGCCACACTTTGTTATGTTACAGCCTTATTCCAAAATGGATTAAATTCATTTTTTTTCCTCAACATTCTACAAACAATACCCCATAATGACAAATGTGAAAGACGTTTGTTTTGAAATCTTTGCAATTTATTAAAAAAAACAAAAAAAAAAAAAACACATGTACATAAGTATTCACAGCCTTGGCCATGTCACTCAAAATTGAGCTCTGGTGCATCCTGCTCCCTCAACTTGATTGGAGTCTACCTGTGGGAAATTCAGTTGATTGGACATGATTAGGAAAAGCATAAACCTGTCTATATAAGGTCCCACAGTTAACAGTGCATGTCAGAGCACAAACCAAGGAATTGACCGTAGACCTCTGAGACAGGATTGTATCAAGGCACAGAAAAATATCTGCAGCATTGAAGGTCCCAATGAGCACAGTGCCCTCCATCATCCATAAATGGAAGAAGTTTGAAACCACCAGGAATCTTCCTAGAGTGGCCGCCCGGTAATGACAACCTGAAAGAAGTTCGTTTTGAAATCTTTGCAATTTATTAAAGATAAAAACCAGAAAAAAAAAAAACCCACATGTACATAAGTAATCACAACCTTTGCTCAATACTTTGTTGAGACACCTTTAGCACCAATTACAGGCTCAAGTCGTTTTGTGTATGATGCTACAAGCTTGGCACACACCTATTTTTGGGCAATTTCTGCCATTCTTCTTTGTAGTACCTCTCAAGCTCCATCAGGTTGGATGGGGAGCTTTGGTGCACAGTCATTTTCAGATCTCTCCAGAGATGTTTAATCGAGTTCAAGTCTGGGCTCTGGCTGGGCCACTCCAGGACATTCACAGAGTTGGCCTGTAGCCACTCCTTTGTTATGTGGGTTGTGTGCTTAGGGTCGTTGTCTTGTTGAAAGATGAACCGTCACCCCAGTTTAAAGTCCAGAGCACTCTGGAACCGGTTTGTCATCAAGGATGTCTCTGTACATTGCTGCATTCATCTTTCCTTCGATCCTGACTAGTCTCCCAGTTCCTGCCGCTGAAAACATATCCACAGAATGGTGATGCCACCACCATGCTTCACTGTAGGGATGGTATTGGCCAGGTAGTGAGCGGTGCCTGGTTTCCTCCAGACATGACACTTGGCATTCAGGCCAAAGAGTTCAATCTTTTTGTTTCATCAGACCAGAGAGTTTTGTTTCTCATGGTCTGAGAGTCCCTCAGGTGCCTTTTGGCAAACTCCAGGCGGGCTGCCATTTGCCTTTTACTGAAGAGTGGCGTCTGTCTATCAACTCTACCATACAGGCCTGATTGGTGGAGTGCTGCAGAGATGGTTGTTCTTCTGGAAGGTTCTCCTCTCTCCACAGAGAAACGCTGGAGCTCTTTCAGAGTGACCATCAGGTGCTTGGTTACCTCCCTGGCTAAGGCCCTTCTCCCTCGATCTCTCATTTTGGCTGGGCGGCCCACTCTAGGAAGATTCCTGGTGGTTCCAAACTTCTTCCATTTACGGATGATGGAGGGCACTGTGCTCATTGCGACCTTCAATGCTGCAGATATTTTTCTGTGCCTTGATACAATCCTGTCTCGGAGGTCTACAGACAATTCCTTGGGCTTCATGGCTTGATTTGTGCTCTCATGTCCAATCAACTGAATTTCTCACAGGTGGACTCCAATC